CTTCTGCTGGTTTATATTGAAAAACAATAATGCAAAATTGTGGAATAAACACTACTGAGTTAACAGTTCCCAACAAAACGTAATGTACAGAGTTTGAAATAAAGGAGGTCTAATACAGTACATGAAGAATTCATGATTTTAATTAGAATTCATCTCCCATTCATCTCAGTGTCTCAATGGCAGTTGCTTGGCTGACGCAGCCTTTTATAAGTATGCAATCTGCATATGTCTTTGCTCTTATGGATTAAGTGTCAGAAAGATCATATTTATGAGTTAAATGCACATAAACACCACCACAAAGTAAGAGTGGGAGATGTTCTTTAAGCCCAGAGTTTCTGAGTTGGGGGTGTGTCAGCAAGAAAACCTGTATTGGTTTTACTGTACTGTAAAGTAGTACTGTACTGTACTGTACTGTATTGACCGTAAATTTGTGAGAAAGGGTTTTTTTTTTTTCATTTACAATAAAACTAAGTTGCATGTACAAAATACCATAATGTTTTACAGTGCATACATAGAACATATAAATATTTAATTTACAAAACCTTCATAAATTGGATAAATACATAACAAAAACTCACCTGATGTGCATTCTTTATTCATCATTTTGTACAAGTAGTTAGAAAATCTTGCTGATTTTTTTTTTTTTTTTTTGTAGAAATACTTTGCCACCTTGCTTGATCAAAATGATTAGAATGCACCTGATGTCGTAATAATGACTTCCCAACTTGTAAATACGAACTTCCCAGGATTGAAGGCACCATTAGGCACTCTGTTCTAAGCAGGTTTTTAACCCAATCACTTGAGGTGTAAATGCCATGTGACTAATCACTCAGAGCAATGACGTCATGACAAATCTGATTGGCTGATGGCACCACAAGTACCATATTTCTTCAATAGAAACTATACTGAGCTGTGATGTGAAAATACCAATTTTATCAAATTTCACTTTTAAGCCCTCCAAAAATCAGTCTGACACTGGAAAAATAAATATTGTAATACAATATGTGTAATGCATACAATACGTTGCTCACATTTTTTGTGTTTGTCAGAATTGCCATTAATGGATTCTTTTGTCCCCATAATAGTTTATTTATCAGCACAGGCTGACTGGTCCACGCTAACCATCTAAATCTAGCCCATGAATGAATACTGAAATGTAATATCATGATTTGAAATTCCAATCTCTTCAAACAACAGATGTAACCCCAGCAAACAGGAGAAATTCTCTCTCTCTACCAAGAAAAGTGGAGAGTTCTTTTTAGAAGCTGACTTCTGAAATCCAAGGCTCAAGTGATATTGCCAATGCTGGTGCTGCATTTTTGTGTTAAACCCTGCTGCAGGCGACCGTACAAAAACTCAATGCGAGAGTCTCACACCTGGCCGTCAGACAGAATTTAAGTTTAAAAGCTGTATCCCAGCCAAATAAAGGTCATGTAACCTGTAAAGTCAATGTTGCTGTGCTTGAAATGGGATTAGCTACTGCAGTTCAGACAGTTAAAGAAAAACACAAAATGTTTTTTTAGTGTTTAGTGATGTTTTAGGAGTAATATTTTGCATTCTCAATATAGTTTTTAGGAAACCGTGCATGGCTGGGTTTTTTGTGTACACATGCCGTCCTTCAAGCTGCTGTTCCAGTGTGGAAAAGTACAGCGAAAGCCTACAGCCATAAACCAAAGGTCACACACCACCATCTGCTGTTCATGTTTGAGTACTTCAGGTAGGCCTATTACAACAAGACTAAAACCTTGAGCTCAATCTTTCCAAAAAAAAAAAAATCTGAAAGTGAACAAGTGCATTAATGTCTTCGAGTGACTCCATTATTACCAGATGAGAAAATGACAAAGTGTAGCTGACAAAGCAATTTCTCTCTCCTCTCACATGGACCTCCCATCTGAATGAGATGACAAGACAATTACGGCGCCAAGATTGATCTTTCAAAAGGCTCTTCACTTCTTCGGTAATTACATACTTGATATGAGGTCTAATGAAGATGTTGTCGAGTCTGCAATGTAGTTAACATGGGAAAAGAAGGAAGGAAGAAAGAAACTCTTCCCACAATTTCTTTTCCTATCTCACTTCTAAAATGCTGCTGTCTTTTATTGATTTTTTATTAAGGAGGAATCAATACAACGGATTGAAAGAAAGATTACTTTAAAAAGACAATATTAACAATATATATTAATAAAATAAAAAAAATATTTGTGTTAATTTAAAAAATATAAAAAATATTTGTGGATTATACATTAAGGACATAACACTCAAAATAAGTTAAAATAATAATGATAATAATAATAATAATTATTATTATTATTATTATTATTATTGTTATTATTTTGAATAATAATAATTAAGGACTAAAATAAGTAACATTTTGGTAGGTATAAATATGGCAAATTATTGTGTGAATAGTACTGTATTTCCCATACAGAATATAGAAGTTTACATTCCATATATACATATTCCTTGCTTCTGTGTGTAAGAGCATATAATATCTTTCAGAGACATCTTATAATTAACTTTTGTGTTTAACAGAAGAGAGAAGCTTATACAGGTTTGGAACAAGTGGAGAGTGTGTAAATGATGACAGAATTTTAATTTTAGGGTGAACTATCCCTTTAAAATAACCATTTTTTCCTAGTGTAATCTACAGAACCCTTTTCCATTGAATCTTTTGTGCAGTGAAAAGGTTTCATAAATGTTAAAGGTTCTAATTGAAACCATTGATGCTGATTAAGAACCTTATTTTTATGCAGTGCTGTACAAAAAGTACATTTGTTGTCAATGTCAATGAATAAGAAGCTTCTGTCTTGCAGCTATTAGCTTCGCATTCATTACACAGCAGTCTTGCGTAATTCAGAGGGGATTTTTTCCCCCCCTCTCTACCGCTTCTGTGATTTCACATATGGAATCGTTCAAGAGATTAATATGCATACACTGGCTTTATGTGTGAAAAGCTGCGATTGCAGACCTGACTGAACAAACAAGTCACATTTCGATATCTCATCAGTCTGTGGTATAGCCTACCTGCTGTGGCATCAGGCATTATTGGAATTTTATGTCTCTTGCTTTTGGAAAGAAAAAAAAAATCTGATGCCGCATATCACCGCCAGAGTCTCACTAGGAGTGAATGCAAATGCGCTTCCAACCTGTTAGAGCTTTGTTGGTGGGAGTAGAGCATGTGCTGGATGGGCTCTAATGAAGTACAGCGTTGGAGAGGCACTTTAATTGACTGCAATTACCAAAAAACATGGGGAAATAATGACAATTTACCACATATATACTCAGACAAATCTGTCATGATGGACGAGAGAAGTATGAGAGCTGGTCCGAGGAGTTATTGCACTGCCAGGTAGATTAATGACCGTGGATGAAAACAAATCAGATAGTTATGGTATCAGCTGGATAGAGGTTCAGCATCATGATGTGCTGTTTTCTGTCAGCTGTACCTAAGCTAAGCTCAGGGTCTTTATGTCTTCATAGTTATTAAGGCAAAATCAATAGAGGCTGAAAACAAAAGTAAACAAACACAAAACTAGCTTGAAAAAAAAAATGTGTGGAGATGGATTGTTTTGAATGCTATTTGTTACTTTGCACATTATGTATGAACTAAAAGTATCAGAACATATTTCAAAGCCTCTAAATGATCAACATCATGATCAAAACTTGCTGAAAAACCTGTTGTACACAGTCTAGATGCCTTCAGTCATCTAACTGATAGTTCTGATAGTACTTTTTTTGCAAGTAAAGGGCCTTCATTCTAAAAATATAGTTCAGGTAACTATATTAATAATAACTTTTATATTGACTTTCATATTTATTTATTTATTTATTTATATTTCATATTTAAGTTACTTTTATATTTATATTGTCAGTAATATTTCAAGATTTTTACAAGCAACTTAGGTTTACTTGATCGAAGCAACTTAGGTTTACTTGATCTATACTTTTTGTTTTTCATGCAAAAATGTGTGTATCAGATATGATACAATGTTTATTTGATCTCTAAATCATCAATGTACTGCATTGCATTATATGTTTTCATCTTATTTTTAAGGTTTAATAAACCATTCCATAAAAAAAAAAAATGTAATTAAAAAAAAAAATTTTCTGACTATTATTGCATATATCAGGTTTTGCCATTCCTTCATGATGATGTATTACCAATAGGCCTACACCATAGGCTGAGTTGACTGAGGTCTCATTTGTATTTACAGGTTGCCATTTATTTATACATTTATGATAATAGTGTCATAATTTTATTTTACAGTAATATAGTAATGATTTATTTCCCAAGTCAAGAAAGAGTGTGAGGGACTCAAATTATAATGCCGTTTCAAGGTATATTACAATTGCTAAAAGGTTAAATAAAGCTAAATCCAGTGCCTAAAAAGTGAAAGTGAAATCAAATTATTAATGTAGGCTTGACATTGTACTGTACTCTGCAACAATGTAATTGTCAGTAGAATTAGACTTCATACATTTCTCAAGACCTTACAGCTAAAATATCTACTTTATTCCAAAACATCTTTACATACAAATATATGTCTTCTACTTTCAGTTTATTGACACCTGAACTAAAATCGATCGATGCATTTTGAAGGCTTACAGCGCCTCCTTTAGGAAGCATAGTGATTTACATGTCTCTTTTGCAATGTATCACATGTCTATTCTCATCATTTCAAATTTGTATATCTCACAATTGTGACCCTTTCTATCATATTCAAGATTTGATATTTTTAATTTACGTTAATAGACTTTTAAAAAATATATCTGTATTACAAACCTATATTACAAAAAGGAACTGACAGCGTCAGTCACCATTCACAATAATAAAAGCGAAAGGTGACTGGAAACTCTACCGTATAATTGTACTATAGCACCTTATTGTTTTTCAACATTATGATTGCCAATTTCAAAAGAAGCATGCAGGGGGCACACAATAACACAGCATTCGAAAATAACCGGAACCATTGTTTCAGGGTTCAGGTTTCCCGGATCATTCTAGTGCTGTGCTCTCTCTCACTCACAGGAGGCGGCGCTGAGCAGCTTTGTGGCTGCAAAGTAGTTTGATGCTGGAAGTGTGACAGGGCCATTACGAGCAGACCAGGAGGAACGACATGGCACTAAACTTGACTATCAACAGTAGCAACCCACCTCTAGGTAAGTACACATGCGAGGTGCATATACGCAATGCATTTTGCAACTGAGCTCGGGCTGCGGCTCAATGGACTGACATGTAGAGTAACCCCGTGCCATCGTGGCATATCTAAATTCTGTCTCCCTTTCCCCCCGTTTAATTGACTTCCACTGCTTTCATTGTTAATAGATAAAAAGCAAGAACACTGACAGTAGTAGTTGTTTGGTAGTGCTTTAGTAAAAGTGAACCAGAAGTATAATTTGTGCGTTTTCATGATTATGACGGAGTTTTAAAGGTTTTCAGTCACATACAGAGGAAAACGAATGATTTGTTTGAGCTTCTTTGTTTTATGTTGATTTCAGAGCCGTTTCACCATGTATTTAAGATATAAAAATGCGAATAGAGCTGCTGAATGACATTTGTTGTTGGTGAAATGAATTGAAGTGCGCCATCCAGTGCTGAGAAAGCAGTGTCACTGGCTGATGCAAGTCATTTGAAAGATATGTCTGAATCTGTTTACCTCACACCTGTCTTTGAGCAGCAGGATTATTCAACTCTTTTTGTCAGAAATCTTTGTTTGCATGTGTGTAATCGTTGTAATGGGCCCATAATGGAGTGAAATTAGAAATTAAGTGGCATCGCTTACTCAAACGTGTGCAAAACCAGTGGGAACGTAGTAAACCAAAACCCAAAATGGGTGTGACTGGTTTTATGCAGTAATTGAGTGTCTCAGAAATTTTAATTGTCAAACCTCTTTTTCATCATAAATGGAATTCTGCGAACTTGCATGCATGCAGGCAGGCAAAAAGCAGAAAACGGCCATGTATGTTAGAGCTGTGTGGAGGTTTCTCAATACACTCAGTTAAAAAATATATTTTAATAAATGCTGAAAATCGTGCTTATTGATATTCATTTTATCCAGTGCAGTAAATTAATACAATTCTATTGTAAAGTGTTTTCTATTCGACTGTATTATGGGATATTATTAATTCCTTAATGTTCATGTTGATACAAATAGTACTTTAAGACACCGAGAATGGTAATTTAATGTCAAATATATTGTATTTAATTATGTCAAATTCTAAATAAACATTCAATGCAAAGCCTTAAACACGTGGAACATACATATATAAAAGAATAAGACATTTAAATGTTGGAGTAAAAATAAAATTGAACAAACAAAACCCTATAAAAGCTAATAATTGAATAAACTTATCACGAGAATGGTTGACTCATCAAAACTATTATGCACGTAATATGTCTCTACAAGGGAAAATGCACCACACATTTTTGGGCAAGTGCAGCAAATATAAATGTATGTATATATAATTGACTTGTGCATTTAGCTGACTAAAAATAAAATAAATGTTGTTAATGAAGGTTTCTTGGCAATGAACTAGTTAAACCACATAAATGGTTGGCAAAGTACATAAGCACAGAATCTGGATGGACCTGTTTGATCAGTTTGTTTTTGTTTTGATATCATCTCATAATGTAACCTTATAATGAATGCACGTCTGTTTTTGTTTCATTTGAGGTTGCACTCTTTTATGTTTTCTGCTCACTCAACCTCACCCCATGTTCAGGATTTTTTTAAAAGTGCATGCTATTGTGACAGTTCGGTTACATCAGTTTAAGGAAAATATTGATGGCATAAATATGTTGTACACAAATCAATGACAGTTATGTTTTTTTGCAATAGTATATTTGTATGTATGTGCACAATAATATTGGAAAAAAAGTGGATTTGGAAATAAATGTCCGAATGCAGGAACGTGTCATTTTCATTTTAGAGTTGTTTGCATGACTTTGCACACAGCAGGTACAGTATTAGATTTGCATTGACGGTTTTCACTGTAATTCACCTCTCTGCCTGTAGGGGCGCTGTTGACTGCTGAGCATGTGAAGGGCAGCGTCAATCTCTCTGTGGAGGAGGGCAAAGACACCATGCTCCATGTCTCTGAGTGAGTATAGGGCCTGTATGAGTATGCTTTATGTATTATAGTTAAAGCCTTTTAGGGACAAAATTAAATATATTTTTCTTGTATACATATTTATGTGCATCATTTTGTCTTATTTCCTTATTTCTCCTTCAGTAAGGTGCAGTTTAGTGACGTGAACTCCATCACGCGTTATCTTGCCCGAGTGGCTCCGGCGTTGGGACTCTATGGATCTAACATGATGGAGCAAACTGAGGTTATATTTAAGCATCATATACTATGTTTCACTGGCACTCTATAACAAATTCCAAATATTTCATTGGTTAATGTTGTTGATCTTGTTCTGCCATTTGCAGGTTGATCACTGGTTGGAGTTCAGTGCCCGTCGTCTCTGTGGTCAGTCAGATCTCTCTTCTGCTCTGGGTGATCTGGATAAAGCTCTGGCACTGAGAACCTTCCTGGTGGGTCACAGTGTGACCCTGGCTGACCTCTGCGTCTGGGCTGCTCTCAAAGGTCAGTCATTTAGCTAGAAGTCAAATTAGAACATTATTTATATATAAATAATTCTCGAAAGTCGATATGGTGCTTCATCCACAGGAAATGGCGAGTCACAGGCCAAGCCAAACTCCTACCCTCATCTGTGCCGCTGGTTTTTGTTCCTGAGCTCTCAGGTGCCATTCAGCTCAGTGGGCAGCAAATGGGCCAGCAAGATCTCTGCCATCAAAGCCACTGTGAGTATATTACTATCCCAGGGAAATGTGGTATTGCAGGTTTTGCAGTTTTACGTATTCTGTTGAGGGAAAAAAAGTTAGAAATTTAAAGTTTGAGTTTTAAATGACATTTATTTTTTAATGTTAAAATTGAAGTCAACCTGGCTAAACGTTGAACATGGAACCTTATATTAACATGGACCTTATATTAAGTTGTTAATTTGTCCCAAACTATGTTTTTAGCCTGTGGAGAAGGAAAAAAAGCAGGATTTGGGAAAGTTTGTGGAGCTCCCTGGTGCTGAGATGGGCAAAGTAGTGGTGCGTTTCCCCCCTGAGGCTAGTGGGTAAGTAGTGTTGTCTATACAATGAACATCAGTCACAATATACATAGTCTGTAATGTTCACCAAGGCTGAGTTTATTTGATCCAAAATGAAGTCATTTAAAGTATTTATCATTCCAACTCCTCAGATACCTGCACATCGGTCATGCCAAGGCAGCTCTACTCAATCAGCACTACCAGGTCAATTTCAAGGGCAAGCTCATCATGCGTTTTGATGACACCAATCCTGAGAAAGAGAAAGAGGACTTTGAGAAGGTATGACATTTTGCCCCCTTTCATACAGAATTATGGTCCTTGTCCTCTATAAATGGCCCATATCCTCTATTACCTCCAAAAAAACAAAAGCAAGGGGTTTCCCTACACTAATTGTGTGAGAAAACCATATTTGAACCAGCATCTCTGGAATGAGCGCCAAGCCTCAATACATGTCTACAACATGTACAATATCCAAACAATTTTTTGTAGACCCCTTTGGCTATGCTAACACCTTTTTGCTACAGGTCATCTTGGAAGATGTGGCCATGCTACAGATCAAACCGGACCAGTTCACCTACACAAGTGATCACTTTCCCACCATCCTGCGCATGGGAGAGAAGCTTCTACAGGAGGGCAAGGCCTATATAGACGACACTCCTCCAGACGCCATGAAACAAGAAAGAGAGCAAAGGGTGGAGTCTCGCAACCGCAGCAACTGTGAGCATCACCAGTGCCGGTCTTAATATTTGTCATCTCCAAAGGAAAGGTGATTTGAGCTGTTGTATTGAACATGTGGTCTATCTACGTAGCTGTGGAGAAGAACCTACAGATGTGGGAGGAGATGAAGAAGGGTACAGTGTTTGGCCAGACCTGCTGCATGAGAGCCAAGATCGACATGAATTCCAACAACGGCTGCCTGCGTGACCCCACACTGTTCCGCTGCAAGAACGCTCCTCATCCTCGCACCAGCAATACTTACAAGTGAGTGAACATCACGCATGCATCGTGTTACTGAATAGTGCCAAATGATGGCTTCCTCTAACTGATGGTCATCTTCTTTTTCACTCCCTTCACCCAGAGTGTATCCCACATATGATTTTGCGTGCCCCATTGTGGACAGCATTGAGGGGGTCACGCATGCCTTACGTACCACTGAGTATCACGACAGAGACGAGCAGTTCTACTGGGTAATAGATGCCCTTGGTTTGCGTAAACCGTACATCTGGGAATACGCCAGACTCAATCTTAACAACACTTTGCTCTCCAAGAGGAAGCTCACCTGGTTTGTCGACCAGGGCTATGTGGATGGCTGGTGTGTATCACTCTCACTTTCTGGACTTTATAGAAAAGAGCTCTTTTAGATTGCATGATTAAACTTTTCTCTCCTTATCTTTCCTTCCTGCAGGGATGACCCTCGTTTCCCCACAGTCAGAGGTGTGCTGCGTAGAGGAATGACTGTCGAGGGACTCAAACAATTTATTTCTGCTCAGGTATGTGTTTTTCTCACAATTAGAATACATTTTGGGAATGAATTCAAACGCATTAAGCCACAAGGTTGTGTGTTACACTGATTTTACCATAGTAGGGACTGTTCTTTGGTATGACACTAGTAAAATCACTGTAAATTACACATTTTATAAAACAGTACTGACAGTAATTTTATGTCCTCATAAAAAATTGTTTAACTATTTTAATTAATGAATTAATTATTATATTTTTAAAATTATTAAATTAGTTAGTCTTTTTTTTTAAATAAATTTCTAGTTATAAAAATAGTTTCATCCACATGTGCAGTCTTTACACTTCAGATTTATTTATTTAATCAAACTCAATTTGATTCACATTCTTTTTCATTTTCTGTCCGTTCCGCTCTGTTACAGGGAGGCTCGAGATCGGTAGTCAATATGGAGTGGGACAAGATCTGGGCATTCAACAAGAAGGTAAATATTAAAATCTTGCCTGGGTTCATCATGGCTGCACCTGATCTCCAGCTGGTCCTTGTCATCCCATTCATTCACTAGTTTAAAAACCTTAAACTGAACAGCTGGCTAGCATCTCTGCACGTTCCCAGTGATATTCTGTCAAGAAAAACTTTTATTTTTTATGCTAATTTTCAAGACCTTAGCCTCTAAGCTCACCAGACCCTCAGTGCATTCACCTTTAGTGCTCTACTTAGTCTTGCCCTTTTACATTTGCACGCCTCCCTCGCACCCACTTTTCTCATTCTCTGTGCCTAACTTACCTAAATGCACTTGCATTTAATTGTTGTTGTTTAAGTCAGAAAAAATTGATATTATTTTCTTAAAATTAATTTAACAGGAACCACTGCTTTTGTGTTGCTTTTAATTGTGCTTCCATGTTTATTCAAGTCATCTGACACTGATCCTTTACACTTCATTACTTGCATCAAGCATGTCTGGCGCGCTTTAACACTTTGCTCATTACTGCAAGCTTCAGCCTTCTCTTCTTTTCTTGGTTTGGCACCATTCATTTTCTCATGCTTTTCTTTAATGAAATAGTTCTTCAGAAAATGATAATTCTGTCATCATTTACATGTATTTTCATTTTTGGCTGAGTGATTCCTTTAAAGGGAAGGTTCACCCAAAAAAAAGTGTTGTTCTAAACCCAACCGCAAGACTTTGTTTCATCTTCGAAACACAGATGAAGATATTTTTTTAAAGAAACCTGAGAGATTTCTGCCCCTCCAATTAAAGCCCATTCCACTTTTATGTTTTAAAAAGTTCATGAAGATAATGTAAAAATAATCCGTATGAATCGAGCAGTTTAATCGTGACACAATCACTTTGTCATAAATAGATTTAATTAGGTTTTTATTCACAGACTTAGACACTGATCAACACGCAAACACCGGTCACGTGAAATATGGTAAGCAGAAACGCAGGCATGCTTGTTTGACATGCAAGAACCAAGTTTTTCATGCTAGTTTTTACTGTCACGCAAGTACGGTAGACCTTCCGTTGACCATATTTGATGATCTGTATGTATGTGCGTTGATCAGTGTTGTTCATTTGCGCATAAAAACCTAATTTGGATCTTTTCATCATATGAGTTAATCATGTCTTTTTAGGAGACTTGGATTAAACTGCTCATTCATATGGATTTGTTTGACAATGTCTTTATGTACTCTTTGAAGCTTGAAAGTTTTGGTGAAATGGACTTTCAATGGAGGTACAGAAAACAAAAGGGTTTGGAATGATGTGAGGGTTAGTAAATGATGGCAGAGATTTCATTTTTGGTTGAACTATCCATTTAACACCATCAACCCTTGGTACTAATTTGTCTAAGAGCAGGAATGTTGTTGTTTTTTGTAGCCAAGATCTCTAAAGCCTCTTAATTTATTCAGAGACATTTTAGTCAATGGTTTTAGTTTCTTCTAATAGAGTTAGCTTATGGTCAAAGTGGCCTGATTTAGGTGATTGTGATATCACATTGAAACACTTCGCGTTCTGTCTGTCTCTGAGCTCTGTGTCCCCTGCTCTACATTAAAGTGCATCTCACTCTTCTGTTTACAAGCTGCCAGTTAGCTGTAAAAAGGTACTCCTACTCCTCTTCCTTCTTCCTCTTGTTCCTCTTCGTGTAGTTTCCTCTGCCCCCTGCATTGTCTGTTCCTTCTTTCCCTCTAACTTTATATTCCCTGGTCTTTGGCTTTCACAAAAGTCCAGATTATTCATCTGGCAGAATATTTATTCTGTCGTGGATTCTTCACTCAAAAATGAAAAATCTCTCATCATTTAGTCATTCTAAACCTTATGATTTTCTTTATTCTGTGGAACACAAATATATTGCTGTTTCCTGGCTGCCATCTTAACATAAAACAAAAGTTTGACCTTACAGAAAAAAGCACGCTCACTTAGTGTGGTAGGTAGTGCTGGGCGGTATACCGGTTCATACCGATTACCGGTGTCTATTTTTCTTTAGCGACTTTTTTGGATAAACCTTAGCTATGATTCAGTTGGAAGATGTCGCCAGTGCTGCCCCGCAAACGCGAGGTCTGACTCTCCCGGCGCAGTGTCACCTCTCTCGGCGGCGTCTGTTCTGTGCAGTGAGCGGCAGAGAAGCATCGCTTTCAGCTGGCCGTACCACAGCCGACTCGTCAATAAATGAGTACAAAACAGCGTTTCCAAGCACCTGTCGCCTACTGACTGTTTGGAATTATAAATATGAGCGCTGTATGTGTTACTAAGCGTGAAAGTTCCGAAACTGAAGCTGTAGAGCTAGTAGAACGTGATGACACAGAAGAGCTCATCCACAATATCCACTGACCACCACACATAGCCACCAATTCTAAGTCAATCTACTGCAGTAGCCTATTTCCTCTCTCAATCAGTAGAAAATGTGGTTTACACCCGGTCATGCATGAAAAAAAGAAAAAAGAAATACCGTCATATACCGTGAAACCGGTATAATTTTGAAAAATACCGTGATATAAATTTTTGGTCATACCGCCCACCACTAGTGGTAGGTCTGTCTACACTGAGAATCATCATTTGTTAAATAAAGACCAGGTTACACAAATTTTGCATACAGTAGACAGTGAAATGACATTTATGGATCTAGCACAGAATAGCTTGAAATCAAGGATTTCAAGTTTGTCGCTCATGCATGTCCAGTTGGACAGCCTGGTCTGTAATCATGCACCTTGAAATCATTTATGGCACAAATATTTTGATCCCCCCCCCCTTCTGACTTCTGACTTCTTCCCATATGCAGCTTGTGTCTGTGTTTGTGCTATCGCCCATTTCCTCCCCTCATACAGCTTCTGGCAGATTCTCTAGAAAGTGAACATACATTAATACTGAACAATTCATGTTGTTCAGTCAAACGTATTTAGCTTTAGCGCTCCCCAGTGACATGTTTCAAACCTTTTGCTCTTGATTTCTCTCTGAAAACCTGGTAATGGTGTTCAACTTCCTCATATCCCAGTCAGAGAAAATAAATACTTCCACTGTTGATGTTGTAAACCTACTGAAATAAAGGCTGCAAGCAGTTATGGGCAGTCAATATGCACATCTGTGGCTGTTACAGTCTGTTTGGCTTCCCCTGCTATTCATTTCACTCTTCTCTACCTGTCCTCACTCATCCGGTTTCATCTGTCGATCCATACTGAGCAGTGTGAGAGCAAAGAAGCTTTAGTTTAGTTTTTTGTTGTAAACTATTATCTAAAGCAGTGGTTCTCAAACCTCTCCATGAAGTACCCCCAGCACTGCACATTTTGTATGTCTCCCTATATCTGACACACCCACTTCAGGTCTTGCAGTCTCCACTAATGAGCTTAAATCAGGTGTGATAGATGAGGGAGACATACAAAATGTGCCGGGCTGGGGGTACTCCAGGACAGGTTTGAGAACCACTGATCTACAGAAATAGTTGTACCCCTCACTTTCACTCCCTGTATAGGTCATTGACCCAATAGCCCCAAGATACACTGCCCTACTAAGCTCGCAGTTTGTTCCAGTCTGCATTTCTGAGGCCAAGGAGGAAATGAAAGAGGTTGCCAAACATCCCAAGGTAATAAAACCGGCAAGCACACGCACCTAAAGGACTTGTCAGTGCCATAAAAAATATTTTTAGGAAGCTGTCACAGTCATTGAGAGACATGTTAAGTGAAGTGACATCCTATCTTGTGGGGATTTGCAGAATGCAGATGTGGGAATGAAGCAGGTGTGGTACGGGCCAAAGGTCCTTATTGAGGGAGCTGATGCAGAAACTTTCACAGAGGGTGAGACCGTCACCTTCATCAACTGGGGAAACGTCATAATCACCAAAATCCACAGGTAAAACTCTCAGAACAAAAATGTTAAAATCAGACTTGCACTGCCTCACGGCCAACCCACATCCAGGAGGCGGCCTTATGTCCCAGGTGGGACGAAGAGGATTAAGTTAAAGGGTTAGTTCACCCAAAAATGAAAATTAGGCTGTTTTACTCACCCCAGAGCCATCCTAGGTGGATATGACTTTCTTCTTTCAGACGAATCCAGTCGGGAGTTATATTAAAAAGAGTCTTTGATCTTTCAAGCTGTTTAATGCCACTCAGCGGGTGTTGCATGCATCAGTCCAAAAGAAGTTAAATAAAAAGCGACCATCCATTAAAAAAAAGTGTCTCGCACAGCTCCGGGGGGAGTGAACAAAGGCCTCCTGTAGTGAATCGATGTGTTTTTGTCAGAAAAATATCCATATTCAAAACGTAATAATCACTTTAATGTAGCTTGCGCACACAGTTGTTCACGGAAGCAGCTCCGGGCGGATGACGTATGAGTTCAGCGTTGCGCATGCGCCGGTGAGTCTCGTGAAAACCAACGTTTGTTAACAGGAGCAAAGGAAGCAAAGTTTCCTTACTTTAGCAAAGGAAAACCAGTCTCCTCTTGGTTTATATCGAAATCCTCTGACATTCTTCTTTACAAATCCTCGTTTTGTACTTCTAATTAGTGACCGTTGTTTTGTTTTGATCTCTCTGCTGCGTTTCCTTTTGCATCACTTCTGAGCAAGCGCAAAGCTGACCTTATACGTCATCCACCCAGAGCTGCTTCCGTGTACAACAGTGAGCGCAAGCTAGATTAAAGTGATTATTACGTTTTGAATATGGATATTTTTCTTACAAAAACGGGGGCATAGAGGACCTACAATAATGTACAGTATTTTAAAAAATAATGTGTTTTTTGAACATTAAAGCATGTCAACATATTCTGTTACACCAAATACACAAAATAATGATCTGTAAAATAGCATCATATGACCCCTTTAATATAACTCCGATTGTATTCCTCTGAAAGAAGAATGTCATATACACCTAGGATGGCTTGAGGGTGAGTAAATCATGGGGTAATTTTCATTTTTTGGTGAACTATCCCTTAAAAAAAACAGCATTTACTTGAAAAATAAATATTTTGTAACATTACAAATGTGTATTCTGCCCTCACAGAACATGATTGTGCTCCATTAGATGAATAGTGAACATTTTGGAATAAAATCCTGAGGCGTAACTTTTGTTGGTTATTATTCTTTACTGTAAAACTGGAAAAAAAAGTAAATATATGTTTATTTCAATATTAAATGAAGTCAGTTAATCACTTGGTATATTCAAACAATCATAAACTTAGTTATAATCAAATAAATGTGTAGATTACTTAGTAAAACTTTTTCCAAGGCTAAACTGCATTTATTAGCTACGCTGAGAGCTTTGCTCTCTCTC